CCAGGAGGAAAAGGCAATAGCGACGGTCAGAGTAGGCGATTCATGTGGGAGATTCAAGACGCGATTCGGAGTCCAGAATCGCACCCTCGACTTTGACCATCAACCAGTCGATTCTCGGTCGGTTCTTGGCACCCTAATTTTTCGAAGATATTGAGGGACCGGAATCACGTCCGTGAATCGCGATTCAAGTTGCTGAATTGCCCAATTCCCTCTGGATCGCCCCCAGAGGGGATTCGGAAATTCAGCAAAATTGGCGATTCTCGACGATATAGAGCTGTTGAATCACGACTTGAATCGCCACGTGAATCGCCTCTTGGATCGTGAACTCTGACCCGTCACTAATGGCATCTTGGATTCCTAACAATAACCTGTTTGCTAGAATCATTGTTTCTGGAGTGCTTATATCGTTCTATCAAGGTTACTCCCAGACAAATAGCGTCTATTAGGAAGGAGGCACGGGAGGAATGACTCGGAGAGACATATTTCGACGCGTGACCAGAGCGTGACTTGAGTCTCTTGACACGAACACCCGCTTCTACGCACTGGCAAGCTCGACGCGCGGACTGGAAGATAGTTCGCGTTTTGATCGGTGCTGCTTGTACAGTACCGAGGCTTACTGAGGTAGGAAATATGATGGAACCAGTGAGAGCTCGTAGGGCAAGGGTCACGTTTATGATCGACTCTTGGAGTCGAACTGGTCAACAGGCGGGCTGGAAGTTATAGCCGGAGATTATAGCATCTCGCGAGAGGATGAGCAGCTTAGTTCTGACTGTGCCCTTGTTGAGATGGCCAATCAATTATTAAGACATGAGTAAGTCGCGAAAATCTCCACAATAGCCTAAGGACACCGAGTTCCTCAACGGCGGGAAGAGAGATGGAGAAGGACGATAGACGCGTCGACCTTACGTGCCTACCATACGCACTGGCAGATTTTAACCGTGTTCCGTAGACCTTCAGTCAATCTGTCGAAAATCGACAACTTCTCTATCCATACGACTCGCGAGGTAACATGAGCGCATGCACACTCGTAATTCCGATAGGATGGTTATGGAAGGTAGTTCCGAGCATCCTCTGGATATGTGTATTTGTAACTCGATAAGCTCTGCGTCAGTTTGGATCTTCGAGTTGGGCGACCATGATGTGTTCCTTCAAAGGTAACTTCGTACAGATCTCCTTGAGAAGTTTGTCTTGGAAGATGCCTGATTTTCAGTACCGCAGCAGGTTTAGCGGTCGGTATCTCTCTTGGAAGGACCGAAGACATCGAGAGCTTCGGAGAGGACAAGCTTAGTTCTGAACTTGAGTTAACACCAGAAGAACAAACAATAGACTAATTATCAAAAAGAAAGAACCTATCAAACAGAAACGTAAGTTAGCGCCTCAATCACAATTCACCAAATCAATCAATTCACGTATAAAAGTACAGCGAGCCAAGCATGGATCATACAAATACAAAAAGAGTCGTCACCAAACCGTCGTATCATTCGTAGGATATGGAGCCATCAATCATGTAGAGAACACCGTTCGAACCCTGTAATGCGCAGGGAGCTCAGATAAATCTTAGATTGACCCCAAAGAAAAAAGAAATCACACCTCCTTCATTCCAATAATACGTACTCCATCGTCGAGCGCCACTCGACTCCATGCGGGACTGTTACCGTCGTTCTTGGTGATAGGTGTAAAGGTGATAGATTTGTGGTGCAAAAGGGTCGGATGGTCGCGTATGTCAAAGGAGATGGAAGATTCCTGCAATAAATGAGCAGATTGAGAAAGAAAAGTAGGAGAATAAATGGAGGAACTGACGGGGACGATATGAGCAGACACCCAGTTCTCGACGTTCTTCTTCGATATGTTATCGAATTCCTGTTCGCTGATCGTTATACCATCGTCCGATGGGTTAGTAGGCCCTTGATGACTAGAATACAGACTATCGTTAGCATTCCTTACGTCCCCAGAATGCAAAATGACGACATCAACTCACGGTTTCCTCGCCAAAGCCATAACAGCCTTATTCGTCGGTGCAAACACGGTCAATCCATCTCTTTCATCCGAAAATCTAGCACTAAGCCCTAGCTCGCGAGCGTACGAATAGAAGATTGAAGCAGAGGGTTCAATTGTCAGGAGGTCAGCGAGAGTGGGTTTGAGGTGGATGGGGGGAGCTGAGGTTTCACCCGTCTCCATCAAGGGGCTGGGGAATAGTGGTAGTTGATCTGCTTGAGAGGCGAGAGAGAGAAGAGGGAGAAAGAGAAGAGGGAGAAGGCGAAGATGCATGGTGCTACCAAAGCAGGAAGTATGTTGCGCTTATTACAAAGACGATGTTGCGCTTGTTACAAAGACGATCTTCTGCACAGCCACGCATTCATACTTCTTTACATATTTCAAGGATCTTCATTGTCAGGCAAGCCCTGTACCTATATCGTTTCTCGATATCTGTTTTCTTTAATAAACCTTAGCCGCCTGAAGATTTTTGGCTGCACGCGATTGAAACGCCACATCAGCTATATCATGTAGTATTGCCGACTCGGAATTACATTTATCAGGTTTCTTCCAAGTTTCTTCTGTTGGGGTATTTTCGGACAGAACAAGTGATATTAGGCTAAACATGTAATTCGAGCGCACGACCAGGCAGAAGAAGACTTCCGGGAGGTTTGTAAGGCAACCAATGAATTGTGAAATTCCTCAATGGAAGAAACCTCTCTGATGAGGAGGATTGTCAATGATGGGTGAACAAACTGGTAGTAGTCATATTCAGCGTGTGCAATACCAAGGATAAACCATAGCTCACAGAGATGCTCTTGTACAGAGCTGCATAGACTTCATAAACTTGCAAAGTATGGGAAATAATTAGTCCTTGAATTCGAAGTTGCAGCACAAACATCACAAGCTGTCAAGAAAGTGGGTGTTAGATTCGAAATGAGCTATCACTGCGAATAGGTAACATACTTGGAGAAGGGCAGTAGATGGCTCCAGAATCTAAGAGAAGTGCTAGTATACGCCACGTTCCTATGAGCCTTCGACGAGATATTTCCAGATTTTGCAGAAATCGGAGATGCGTCCTGTCTTTGGTATGAGTAGATTTGACTTGTATCAGGTAAGAGTGCTTACCACAAGGTCTATCCAACGAATGATGTTGCAACTGCATTTGTAACGAAAGACAATGCGAAAAAACAATAAGTCATGGGTGCTATGCTATCACTGTACTCTGGTATAACACCCCAACCCGGATCCTCTCGGAGAAGTACCGTAATTAGATTTGTTAATGAGACTCCTTCAGGAGGTATTTGAATACATAATACCATCGATATTTTCAGTAATTGACATACCAAAGGAACAGATACATAGCCCCACTGAAAGCACCAAGGCCCATCGTCGCTTGTCAAAGATGGCCCACGCACGCCATATAATTAGGGCATCATTGAAGATCAGTTGTACTCAGAACAAGAGAGTTGTTCAGAAGATTGGTCAAACTAGTTTGAGACTTATGGGGAGAGTAGAAAGCCACGTCATTGCGACATTCGATACCATGTTTGCTCGGTCGGAGGATGAATTACAGCTCTCAAATTCAGGGAGCCCAAAACGAACGAAACAGGCAAAGTTGGATGTAAATTGCTGTATCAACTGCATGGCAGCGTTGTCGAGGCTTGTAAGCAAACTGAACAAAATTATTATCAGCGTTGCAAAAAATTGCGGAGATTTTCCTCTACGCCTAAAAATGATTGGGTGAGTGGGTCATAGACGTATTTGTGGACGCGATAGCTTGATGAGAGTGTAGATGACCATGATATACAACGGTGTGAAGATCCCTGTCAAGTGGCGAAAGACAGACTAGGCCCATGAATTGAGAGTGATATAGTCAGGTGGGATATGGTGAACCACGTACCCACACATAAAAACGCAACTGGGAATTCTGCCACTATATCAAGAGATGGTTCGACAGTGACTGTGGTTGTGGTGAATATGATCGGAGGAGTGGACTCTGCCATTGAGACTATGGCTGTAATTATAGTCGTCAATGACTCGGAGGGTAGTAGTAATGTGGCTGCAAGAGTTGACTCCGTCATTGGCGGGCGGCCCTTTTACTAATCAAAGGACCTAAAGCTTGGCAAATGGTTTGTAGAGCAGGACTATGGAAGCCAGATATTGAAGATATCGTTGCTTTCGAGTTCAAAGGCAACTTAGGGAAGACACATCTGCATCTGTGAGAGCGAGGCATTTATAAATTTTGCGACTACACCCAGCTCTGGGCTGTTCAGCCAAACGACGTAGCAACATGCCTAGGCTATTACACATATCAGAAACAGAAAGAAATGATAGTCGTAGATTGGGACTTGCTTTCAAGATGACACATCCAAGTCTGGGTCTATATATCGCAGTATACTGTTTAGTAGCCCTCAGGAAAGTCCTACAAAAGCTTGTCTAAAAATGAATAGCGGATTTGAGGGGAAAATGTAGCCCAATCTCAGCCCTAACTTTGTAGATTTGAGGCCTCTAAGAGGCAATCTTAGTCTGTAATATGGCGGATTTGAGCCCCAGCTGGGTGAAAATTTTGATGACGAAATTCTGAGCATTTCAAGCATCGTAAACATCTGAGTCAGTCTTGGACGTAAATTTACGTACCAAGAGAAAAATAGGAGAATTTCCCTTTTGAATATATCTTGTCCGTCATTGCGGATTTGAGACTTGGAAGATAGCGGATTCGAGGCCTGATCTTGGGAAGTTTCTAGACAAGCTTCAGCAGTAGGAAAGATGATGGACTCGTGAGGCAAGGTGATTGAATGATTGGCGGACTGGTGAGAGCCGGAGGTAGTCGAGCACCTTGGTGAGGTTGTTAGGGCACTATGAGGTTGTCTTGCAGGTAGGGTTGGTCTCAAAATCTTATCATTAACCTGCCATGATGGTATATTCTGGCATCTTGAAACTGGAGTTCTGTTGGGAATTGAAATACAGTCCACAATCTTTTTGAGAAAATTTTATAAAAGTTTAGGCTATTCAATTCAACTGATTTCGGATACGGGGAATCGAACCCCGAGCTGCCGCGTTCAAGCCTATATTATAGACAATGAAAGGCGGCAATGTTAGCCGTTACACCATATCCGACATGGAAATTTGGAGTTTTACTTGATCTGAAGAATAATCCTGTTGGGGAGAAGCAGATGGCTACGAAGCAGTAGGTGCACAGCCGCACATTCAGTGCTTGAGCACATTGTTCGTGAGTCTTGTCTAATATATGTGTCTGTTTTTTTCTCGTTGTGCAGGGGAAATCAAGTACGTGGTGCTTGCTGTCCAGCAGTTGAGAATATTTTGGAATGCTTTTTTTAAAATATGAAGGCCCTTTACATACATCTGGCCAGGCCGTAGCCGTTTTTTCTTTTCTTTTTTTTTATACTTTTGTACTATAGTGGGCGGGCCATTTCTTGCTCAAAAAAAAGATGGACTGAAAGAATCAGAGTCACAATTCGGATACGGGGAATCGAACCCCGAGCTGCCGCGGCCAATGCTTGCATTCACAATGAGAGGCGGCAATGTTAGCCGTTACACCATATCCGACATGTTTATGATATATCAACCATAGGTCCTGTCTGCAACGGCACGACCGGAAGTCAACAATAGCTGTCCATTAAAGTACTTCGGTCTCAACTATGACCGATCTCTTTAGCATCGAAAGCCTAGTAACAGTAGTGCCCCAAAGGTCGCTGGCACAGCGTTCGCTGTACCTCTGTCAAACCGGGTTCCCAAAGCTCAACCCTGTGCCGGGCCCGGGATCAAAGAAACATGAATCAGCCATTACGACGCGTCTTCGTCATCATCCCGCCACGTTCTCCTATAAATAAGCAGCCTATACAATTTTCCAAATGCCCTGTTATCAATTCTTCTTCTACCTCTCCTCGCACCTACACCCAAAGCAACAATGAGCACCACGACCACCGAGCCCGTTGTCCTCCACGAATTCAATCCTAAGAATATGCCATTTCGACGCCTCGGTCCGAGCGGGCTGCGCGTCTCGGTGTTTTCGCTTGGGGGATGTGAGTGCGTTGAAGATAGGACCCACTGACGATGCTATGATGCATATATGTATTGTAGGGCTGACGCTTGGCGGATCGGTCGTCGGTGATCCTGTCAAGGTTGGTCGGTTGCTCTTGGTCATTAAGGCTCGGTAGGGAAGCTAAACGCGCGCTTTGGTTAGGAAATCATCAAGACCGCGTTTGATGCTGGGATCAACATGTTTGATACGGCCGAGGTATACGCGAATGGGAAGTCGGAGATTGAGATGTACGTCGCTCGTCGTTATTTTATTGCTAATTCTAATTCACAACGCAGGGGACGTGTAATTAAAGAACTCGGTCTGCGTCGTACGGATCTGGTTATTACCACCAAGATCTTCTGGGGCACGCGCAAGGGCCCAAATGACCAGGGTCTCTCGCGCAAACAGTGAGTTTGTCGTACAATCCGCGAATTGAACATGGGCTCACCTTTAATCAATCAAACAGTATCATCGAAGGAACACGAGAGAGCCTCAAGCGGCTCGGCATGGACTACGTCGACGTCATATTCGCGCATAGACCTGATAACACTGTTCCGATGGAGGAGATTGTCAGAGCGTTCAATTGGGTTATCGATCAGGGATGGGTACGTGTTTGTTGGTTATTGATATATATGTATAAACCCTCGACGTTCGATCAAGGCGTTTTATTGGGGTACGTCGGAATGGAGCGCGAGGGAGATCGAAGAGGCGTTCCGTGAGCTTCGAGTTTTTGGTCCTGGGAGCATTTTAGAGATTGATTACTCGTTGATTTAGATGTTGCGGAAAAGTTGAATCTCGCCGGTCCGATTGCTGAGCAGTGCCAACACCAGTGCGTCTTCTTCTTCCATTCATTCACAGACTGACCCGGTTCCCTAGCATGTTCCATCGTGAACGACCAGAGAAAGAATACGAGTTCCGTTTTCACCTTTCAATCAACACAACCCACACTAACACCTCCGCATCTCCTCCAGCCCGCTCTACCGCAAATACGGCCTTGGAACCACGACGTGGTCCTCGCTCGCCAGCGGACTTCTCACCGGAAAGGTGCGGGTTTCCAACTTCATCATCATCCATTCATCCTTGAGTGATCTTACCGAGTTTTAACGAATCGAAACTCTGCAGTACAATGACGGGATCCCTGAGGGCTCGCGGTTCGCTACGACCGCCATGTTCAAGAATACCGTCGACTCTCTCAAGACGGACGAAGGCAAGGAGAAGATACGTAAGGTCAAGGAGCTCACGAAGCTCGCTGCGGACGGTACGTTTTTCTTACAATCTTCCGGTGCTCATCTCATCTCATGTATGTATGCACACCCGATGTACGTAGAATTGCAAACTACACCCGCAGCGCTGGCTCTAGCGTGGGTCGCCAAGAACCCAAACACGTCGACGGTTATACTCGGCGCGTCGACGCCTGAGCAGCTTAGGGATAACTTGAAGGCTGTAGAGGTCCTTCCGAGGCTTACGGTGGGGATTATGGAGAAGGTTGAGCGTATTTTGCAGAATAAACCTTCGCCTCATGTGTGTTTGTTTATGTGGTATAGTGTGTGGGGCGCTTGCTGATTTTTTTTTTTTGGCGATAGGGAAATTATGGACGGCCTGCGCTTGATATACATGGTCGTCTTTGAGTCGAGTGGTTGATTGTGTTTATAATATAAACTTGGAGATGGAGATGAATTCCGTGCGCTATCGAGGTGGTTTCTCAGACTTTTCTGTCCCTGTGGTATTTCGTTAGCATAATCACCCGTTTTCGCTCAGAAGCAGGAACCAAAAAGGGTTTTCTGGTAGACGGAATTCATGCCACGTCTCTTGTGTCCTCTATATATAAACAATAATATGTAAAAAAATGCACTTAATTTATGTGTCTATGCCAGGTCTCTCAATTGTGTTGTGTAATTCTTTCAAGTTGTCGGGAATCGACTCTTCCTCCTCGCGAGGCAGCATTGGTCCCAAATGGAGAATGGTTCCGAGCGTCTTAATTCCTTTGGAGGCGACTTCGTATCCATGTCCCCGGAAAATGTCTGACTTTCAGTACTGCAACAGACTTGGTGGTCGGTATTTTTCTTGAAGGACACTGGCATCGACCGCTTTCGAATTGTTCGGTGCTAGAGAACCTTAGCGAGCGCAGTGTCTTCCGAATTTATGCAACGCATGAATGCATCACGGAAGCGATGCAGGGCTCCACTCAGTTACTGTTTGGTGATTCTCTTTCCGAAAAAATTTGGGCTCAGAGTTAACACCGGAAGAACGAACAATAGACTGATTATAAAAAAGAAAGAACCTACGAAACAGAAACGTGAGTTAGCGCCTCAACCATAATTCGCCAAATCAATCAATTCACGTATAAAAAAGTACACCGAACCAAGCATGGATCGTACAAATGCAAAAAAAGAGTCGTCACCGAACTGTCGTATCACTCGTAGGATATCATGTAGAGGACACCGTTCGAGCCCTCTACTGCGCAGGGAGCTCAGATAAATCTCAGAGTGACCTCAAAGAAAAAAAAAAAATCACACCTCCTTCATTCCAATAATACGTACTTCATCATCGAGCGTCACTCGACTCCATACGGGACTGTTACCGTCGTTCTTGGTGATAGGTGTAAAGGTGATAGATTTGTGGTGCAAAAGGGTCGGATGGTCGTGTATGTCAAAGGAGGTGGAAGATTCCTGCAATGAATAAACAGTTTGAGATAGAAAAGTAGGGGAATAAATGGGGGGGAACTGACGGGGACGATATCCATGCATCTTCACCTTCTCCCTCTTCTTCTCTTTCTCCCTCTTCTCGCTCTCGCCTCTCAAGCAGATCAATTACCACTATTCCCCAGTCCCATGATGGAGGCGGGTGGAACCTCAGTTCCCCCCATCCACCTCAAACCCACTCTCGCGCTCGCGAGCTGCAGCTCAGTGCGAGATTTGCGGATGCAAGAGATGGATTGACGGCGTTTGGACCGACGAATAAAGCTGTTATGGCTTTGGCGAGGAAACCGTGAGTTGATGTTTGCATTCTAGGGACGATAGTCTGTATTCTAGTCATCAGGGGCCTACTAGCTCATCGCACGACGGGATAACGATCAGCGAACAGGAATTAGATAGCATATCGAAGAAGAACGTCGAGAACTGGGTGTCTGCTCGTGCTACCAAAGCAGGTGAAGTATGTCGTACCCGTTACTAACACTGTTACAAAGACGACCTTTTGCACACCCACCCATTCATACTTGAAATGTGTAAAGAAGGATCTTTGTTGCGAGGTAAGCCCGGCAAATCATTTGTTTCTTCCATAGATTTCAATACATAAATCGGATAGATCTCCGCACCACATTCTTCCGGCGATTCGTTTATTCTTTATGAGACCAAGACCGATTCAGATCACACCACTGGCTCTGTCAACATTTTTCTATAAAGTCAGCTGCTTAAACCCCTTTTTTTCTCTTCCAGTGGCCTCAAGAGTTCAACGACTTCTTGAACAATATCCGAGTTCCTTCGAGCTAATCTCTCTCTCTCTCTCTCTCTCTCTCTCTCTCTCTCTCTCTCTCTCTCTCTCTGATTTAGCACATCGCAATCATAACCCGTTGTCATGCCTTCCATCCCTATCGTCTCTTTGTTCGTCTTTGCCACCCTTGCGACACTTTCCCATGGAACGATTTCTCTCGATCTCTTCAACCCACTTCCAGATATCAAGGTAACATCTGATAGTGAGTACTCGCTTGTTTCATGTTACCACGGGAGTTCTGACTTGTTTTTTCTTTTTTTTGAAGCTGTAGAACCCAGCTAGGATGTATGTGCTCAATGCTTATAGTATGAAACATGATATAACATAAATTGTTGAACACCGAATTCCTCCCATCAGCCGAGTTCCATGTGGCCAGCCCACCAGGGATGCTTGGTAGGCATGATTAATCCAAGGAAGGGGTCGTCGATTTTGTTTTTTTTGGAAGGTCATGGATAACTACTTGTACACCTGCCTGCTTGTATGGGCCATTGCGGGTATGGCATATCCGCTACCCAGATATTTAACTGTAGACAATTTTATCAATTAGCCTAATCACCCGTGGGTTTTCTGAGTGGGTGACTATGTATGTATGTAGATGCCGCCAATGTACGACCACCCCCCCCCCACACACATCTATTCATTCCATCGTCCTCTCCGAGTCGTTATGAGATGCTCTCGTGTCCTCTACATATAAAGACCAAAACGACAAGCTGCGTCAACCCCGCGCCGGATAAAAAAAAAGACAACAAATCTCCCAGTATCATAGTACACACACGCATCTTCCAAATCATCGGAACGACGAACTGCAGTCAATCAAATCAACACACACTCACACCCAAAAAAAAAAAAAGATACACACAGATCCGGATCGACACACGGAAGACTAGGCAACCCCCTCAACCCGCTCACCACACACTTCTTCCCATCAAGATCATACGCTCTCACACGATACCTCCCAAAACAGGGTTTGACGACGAGCTCGCCGGGACGGGGTACCGGCACGCGGTTGTTGTACCGATGATCGACGGGTTGG